TATATATATATATATATATATATATATATATATATATATATATATATATATATATATACACACATATATACATATATATATACACAGTATTACCCCGCCTAACGCGGTTTCACTTAACGCGTTTTATCATATACGCGGTGCCTCGCCAGAGCTGAACTTTCACTTAACACGGATTTTTTCCACATATACGCGGTGAGTGTCCGGCTCGAGACGCTATTTTTAGATTTGCCCCACCCTGCCTGACTGCCTGTTTTAGCTCATAAAATTCATACAAATTACCCGGCCAGAATATAATTTACATTGCTGGAATTCTTATAATTTGGTGATCATTTTGAATATAAACATCATATTTTTGCATTAGACATACAAATTTTAGATAAAAAATTTTCTCAAATTAACTATGTTATCTTTTGTGCAAAATATATGACATTTATATTCAAAATATTCCTGGTCTTACAAGGAATCCAGCAATGTCAATTATATTATCCTAACTTTAGTTTGAGGTATTATTTATTAAAATTTAGTGGTTATCCCACACATCTCCTTGGGACGGTTGGTGGGGGGTGGGGAGGAGGGAGGGACCGACCGACCATCTGTTACCCTGTGAAGAATTATTTTTTTTTTTATTAACTGAAGATATTTGTTTTAGCTCATAAAATTCATACAAATTATCCGGTCTGAATATAATTTACATTGCTGGAATTCTTATAATTTGATGATCATTTTGAATATAAACATCATATTTTTGCATTAGACATACAAATTTTAGATAAAATTTTTTCTCAAATTAACTATGTTATCTTTTGTGCAAAATATATGACATTTATATTCAAAATATTCCTGGTCTTACAAGGAATCCAGCAATGTCAATTATATTATCGTAACTTTAATCTGAGGTATTATTTAATACTAAATGTTAAAAACCCTGGAAGGGAGGATTGGTGGGGGGTGGGGGGAGGGTTGGGACTGACCGCGTGGTTGGAAGAGGGGGGGAGGCAAGGTGGGGTACTTTGATTGACAGATAGTGTTGTGAAGATTATTTTTTTTTTTATTAACTGAAGATATTTGTTTTAGCTCATAAAATTCATACAAATTACCTGGTCAGAATATAATTTACATTGCTGGAATTCTTATAATTTGGTGATCATTTTGAATATAAACATCATATATTTTGCATTAAACATACAAATTTTAGATAAAAATTTTTCTCTAGGTAACTATGTTATCTTTTGTGCAAAATATATGACATTTATATTCAAAATATTCCTGGTCTTACAAAGAATCCAGCAATGTCAATTGTATTATCCTAACTTTAGTTTGAGGTATTATTTATTAAAATTTAGTGGTTTTCCCCCAAAAATTTCTCTGAGAGGGAAGAGCCAGTGAGTGTATTTCTCTATTTCTCTTAAGTATTAATTGTGTGCATGTACCATCATAAAATTAAGATGTTATTTTTACTACAACATAGGTATGTGCCTTCAAAAAGTGGAGTTTGGGGGTCGGGCCGGTTTCTATTGGAATTAATCCCATATGTTCTGTTGTTCACTTAACGCGGATTTCACTTAACGTGGGACCCTCTGGGTTCAATTGACCGCGTTAAGTGGGGTACAACTGTACTACTGTAAAATAATAATAACAATAATAATAATAGTAACAACACTGTAATAATAATAATAGTAATAATAATAATAATAATAATAATAATAATAATAACAATAATAATAATAACAATAATAATAATAAATACAAAAATGATAAAAATCCAAAGTGAGAAACACTATATGTATGTTGTGCTGTCAATAGTAAGAGAAACAATTGAGACCCTGCAATTGTGTGTAAATGGGGCAGAAAGACAGATCAGCAACCTGGGACTTGGTCACAATATTCGTGATGCCATATGGCTGCAGGGTCTACCATTAGACAACACATTATGCTTCCAATATCTTCCCAGGCGGTAGTACCTCCCTGTTTGATAGCTGCCTATGACCTACTACCTGCTGAGCTTATGACCATTTCGACTAACGACCTGGATTTGGGTCCCTAACCCCATCGTAAGTCGGGGAGGAGCTGTATAAACTTAGCCGAAAAATTAGATGTGTTAAAATTATATAATAAGGTGAGAGGTCTGTGGGTATTATATGGAGCAAACAATGAACATATTTTCTGAAGTAGATCCATTAACAGAATGAAGCATTAAAATTAACAGGGACATGAAAAATGCAAATGACCTCTACAAAAAAGTGTAAAGGCCTAAACCATCAACTTCAGCTACACCATCAAATTCAGCATCATAAGCAGCTTCAACAAAACTTTAGGTTCAGTAACAGTTTCAGCAACAGTTTTATGGAAAGCTACAGCTTCAGCCAGAGTTGAACCTGATGACTTCGTCATCTGAGTAAAAACTTACACAACACCATTGGCTGCCCTTATGTTTTAGACTTTACCACTATTGGTGAGTAGAATTTTGTTTTACATTCGTAAGTATTATTTAAAACATATATGAACAGTAATTAAGTGTTGCTTTCATGTTCTTATATAGAGAAATTACGATGTTTTCACATGACACACTTACATACGTTGGCGTTTCCAATCATCTCACTTAATTTCTTTACTCATTAATGGTTAGCTACTTCTATTGTTCCAATTATTAACTTTAAATAACATTACTTAAAAAATACATACAGGTATTCATTTTGTTTTTCATTATGTTCACTACAGCTACAACCAGGGTCTTATTTTCTTCAGTTTCTTATGTACAACCATCGTCACTCACGAAAACAATGCCGTCTCAAATCCTCTTGTGTGTTTTAATATTCTACGTATTATTAATGAATTGCATTGTTCATTTCACATATATACAGTAAACATTAATTCAATCAAATACATATTCAGTAATAAACAATAATGAGTCTTTTGTACATATTCTTAAGATAAATGACTGTTTCCTTGAGTGCACACGTATACATTGGCTTTCCACTATCAGTCTCACTTTTCTTTATATCAGTGGTCACTTCTACTGTATATTAAATAACATTAATTAAAACATACATATTTTTTACATTAATTTTACTACAACACCAACCAGGGTCTGATTTTCTTCAGCTTCAAATGGATAACTGACATTATGGGCGTAAACACTGACAACAATGCCGTCTCTTATCCTCTTGTGTGTTTTAATATTCTACGTATTAATGAACTGTATTGTTCATTTCGCAAATATAAAGATTAATTCAATCAATTACATACAGTGGTCCCTCGGTTAACGAGCACAATTCCTTCCAGCAGGTTGCTCGTTAACCGAAAAACTCGTTAACCGAAACCATTGTTTCAATGGGATTTTGGGTAATTGCATGTAGAAGGCTCCTGGATGATGATGATGATGATGATGATGATGGGAATTAGAATGGGGGTGGAGGAGAAGGAAGAAGAGAAGGCATTGGGGTGGAAGAGAAGTCACCCCATGGCACCATTTCACCCATAAAATTTTAGTTCTCTTGGTGTATTTCAAGATAATTTTCTTTAAATCAACACTGCACTGCATTATATATTGTCAATATGTAAAATATATTTCAAAATGACCAATAATTTGCTTGGAAACACAGAAAAAAAGCATTTAGTTGAAGAGAGTCTCAAGCAAGATGTTACCTCCACTGAAAACAGAGAGAGACTAACGCCTGTCTGGTGTGTTAACAGGCTGGATGGCACGCCAGAAACTAGTTTCTTTACCTTCAATTATGTTCAATAATTGTTAAAATGACTAAAAAAGTTAATATTAAACTTTTAAAATTATTGAATAGTATAAACTTCTTGATATTTACTAAAATAGTAAGGAATTTAAGCCCTAAAACCAATTACTGTATTGGCAGACTAATACTACAGCTGGTGGACCGCCAAATGCAAGCGAAAACATGTTGAAGTCGGCTCGTAAAAAACTCGTTAATCGAGGGATTGCTCGTTAACCGAAGTTAAGAATCTTATGGAAGGTAAATCGTTAACCGAAATCTCGTTAACCGAGGGACCACTGTATTCAGTAATAAACAATAATGAATGTTTTGTACATATTTTTAATAAGATAAATGACGCTGTTTCCTTAAATGCGCACGTATATTTTTGCGTTCCAATCCATTTCACTTTTTTCTTTGCCATTAGTGGTTAGCTTCTTCTATTGCTCCATTTATTAACATTAAATAAAATTACTTAAAACATATATATTAATTTTTTTTTACTTTTCTTCATTTTTTATGTAAAACCATCATCCCGGACTCCCGGCTGTAAACACTAACGAAAACAATGGCGTTCCATCTCCTCTTGTGTGACCATATTATTATTCATTTATATTGTGTAAGGTGCATTCATAAACATTATTTAAAGAAAATAGTTTGCAATTTTCATTAATTGTATTGTTTGGGGGAAAAGAGGGTAAAAAGCCACACAAAAGATATGAAAAGGTCACACTTGGCAATGCATCTCATTATTATTGCTTTATTTTAATGGTATTTAATGATTCACAATACGACGACTCACCTTACACTGCAATATTGGAGGACACATTACCGTCGTTATTTGAGGCTTTACTGTAACGGGAAAAGATTCCGGGGATAAAGAAATTTTCCGGGTTTGAGAAAGTCGTCTGGTTAGCTGGAAATCTCTTATCCCAGAAATGCTCTGCACCAATTTTTCCGGCTAACAGGGATATCACTGTATAATGAGTTTGCTTCAATGTGTAAATTTTAATTAACCCAAATTTCAGGTGAATGCTAAATAAAAATGATCATACAGGTTCTGTTTTGTTGCCAATTTCACAAAATACAGTAACCATTGTGTAATAACACGCCACAAATATATTTAATCGATCAGTCTGGGATGTCTGATATACTGTAAATACAACCTTAGAGCTAGCTTCTTAGCCCATGCTAATATTTTTATTGGAGTCAACGGATTATCATCTTATACCCCCACAACCCCACCTCCACTTTAAGACTTTCTATAATATTACAAACCTGTTAATGCTGCAACAGAAGACTCATCTAATTTGGCAGCATTCTTATAAAATTTAGTAGCTTCCTTGTTACGTCCCTGGAGAAGACACTGATACCCAACCTCTGTCAGGTACTCAGCATTTCCTGTGTCCACCTTGGCTGCTTTACTTGCCATCATATACGTCTCTTCTAACACAAGACGATTTCTTCCACACTGGAAATAAAAAAAATAAGTAACATAGCAAATAATAATCAAGGAAACAAATACAGGTACAGTATTGGAATACCCCAGTTAGCGCAGGGGATGCTTTCCTAAAAGTCACTGCGATTAATGACACTGCAAATATCGGGGCAATTTTTCCTATAAGAATTAATGTAAATGGATGGGGGGGTGTGCATTCCCAGTCAGCAACTTTCCACCACATATTTTTCAAAATATACTCCTCCTCCTCCAAGGCTATTAAAGGACCAGGGCTGCATGTATACTGTAGTACAGTACAGTCGACCCTTAACATACGCGGGTTTAACATACACAGATTTGCAAATACGCTGATTGCCGCCGGAGGAATATACATTCAAATCGCGTGCGACACCACACACTGCCCGCCACACCACACACACACACACACATCGCCCACCACGCCACCCTGCGTTCCCGCGCTCCCTCAATCAGTCAGTCTCGCTGTAACAACGCTTGTGTTGACATCAGCATTGCAGATGCAAAAATATTACATTTCCGTGAAAGTAATATATATTGAACGTCAGAAGGTTAGGTAAAGTCTTTTGTTTTCATGTAGTTTATCCTAATTTACATTGAAATACATCACGTTTCAGCAAAACTACTATTTATTTCTGAGAATATGGAAATGTAATATTTTTGCTGAAATGACGTACGTATTACAGTGGAAAGTGGGATAAAATCGTAATGAAAGCCATGACTTTCGCTTTCTTTCGTTCAAAAGATGTTACCAAAATCGCTTTTCGAAGGGTTTTCAGTTAAAAAACTGTTGTATTACAGTAATATTCTATCCTAATTCACTTGTGATGCAACAGTTTTTTTAACTGAAAACAATTCGAAAAACACGTGTACCGTCTAGCTGATACGGCAGAGCCTTGGTCGCCCTGGTCGCAATCAGACCAGAAATTGTGGTGAAATCTTTTAAGAAATGTGGGATTTCGAATGCTCTTGATGGAACAGAAGACGACTTGTTGTGGGATTATGAGGCTAATGAGAGCGTGATTGAGGATGAAGATATTGATGATCCTATGGCTGATGATGGTGTTGATCCATATGCCGATACTGTTCAAGGAGAGGACTGGGAGTAGCTGTTTGGTGCTGATGACAAGGAAAATGATTTTGATGGATTTTAATGAAAATATTCAGAAATATGGTATCGTAGTATTTATTCAAGTGAATTAGGATAGAATATTATTGTAATACAACAGTTTTTTAACTGAAAACCATTCGAAAATCGATTACGGTAAAATCTTTTGAACAACGAAAGAAAGCGAAAGTCATTGTTTTCGTCATGATTTTATCCCACTTTCCACTGTAATACGTACGTCATTTCAGCAAAATTATTACATTTCCATATTTATTTCTGAGAATATATTCATTCAATCACAGTTAAGGTAAAATATACTTGTGATGTAATATTTTAGTGAAAATACCCGGTACACCTAGACCCCGACTTACGACGGGGTTAGGGACCCAAATCCAGGTCGTAAGTCCGATATGGTCGTAAGTCCGATATAGATAAAAAAATAAAAAATAAAAATAAAAATTTTCAAAAAAAAAAAAATCAAAAATTTTTTTTTTTCAATTTTTTTTTAAAAATCTACAATGAAATACAGTACACTAAACGTAAAAAATAATGAGGAATGGATACAGTACAGTAAAAGTAATAAATAATGAGGAATGGATACAGTGTGACTGAGCACTTACCGTATATCACGGCCTATAAGGCGGCGGGGTGCATAAGACGCCCCCCCCAATTTTCCATTTAAAAAGTAGCTTTTGAGCTCTATTTGCTGTATAAGACCAGTACCCCAAATGTGACACTTAACCACGGACTCAGTAGTCCTTTACCAACCATCCTTGATTTTTTAAAATAAGGCCAATTCACTTCAAGTAATGTCATCAAATTATACCCGCTGGTGTAGTGTAAACACTAGTGACGTCACTGAAGCGTCTGCTATTTACCGATAACTGGAACTAATGTCGGTATCGAGTAAAATTTTTCCATTTACTTGAAATGGATTTACCGATTTATTTGTTTACTTATTTATTTATTTATAATATACTGTAACATATTAAACACACTGCAAGTATTTTCTTTCATTTATACGCTTGCTTCACACGAGACGATCGGTGGTGGGAGTGTTCCCTCGTCTCGGTGGTGTGGCTGTGTTCCGACTATTTATACAACATGTAGTTCAACAGCAACCACCGTATTCTAATTGTGGTGTTTCATTAGGATTTGAGTGAAAAAGGTTACCAGTATGTACTTACTACATACATTTATTACACAAATATATATATATATATATATATATATATATATATATATATATATATATATATATATATATATATATATATATATATATATATATATATATATATATATATATATATATATATACAAAAAATGAATGTTCAATGAATTATTTATGGTGCATTAGGGTACTGGTCACTTCTGATGGGCTATAAATAGCCTTCTTTATCTCCCCTACATCTCACCCTGAGCCAGACGGAAGGGTCTTGGTAAATAACATGTTTGCTTATTTTCCATTTACTTTAAATAGATTTACCGAATTATTTGTTTTATTTATTTATTTATAATATACTGTAATATATTAAACACACTGTAATTATTTTCTTTAATTTATAAACTGTTTTGCGACAAAGGAATGTTCTCCAGTAGTGTTTCATTAGGATTTGAGTGAAAAAATATTACGTACTTACTACATACATTTATTACACAAACATATTTATATATACTGTATGTATACATACATACACATGCACACATTTAATTTACTAAGTCACAATATTTTAAAAGCAAATTACCCGACAAGTTAAAAATGTTATTAGCACATGATTATTACTGACGTCATCATGTATTAAAAACCTTCAAAATCCACATCATCAACATCTGACATCATAAGTTCTTCAAGTACATCCTGAGATACATTTATGGCTGCTTCATCATAAGGATCAAATTCCAAATCAGATGACGTGGCTTCGGCTTCTGTTTCATCCTCGTCCTCCCACAACATGTCATCCTCCATGCCATCCATTGAATTAGATATTCCGCACTTTTTAAAAGACTTGATAACTGTCTCCACATTAATATCATTCCATGCCTTGATAACAAAATCACATAGTACATCCAGTTCGGGAGCACGCATATTCCCACCTTTCGTGTAAGACTTTTTGCCGCTGTTCATCCATTTGTTCCATTGTTCACGAACGCGGTCCTTGAATGGTTTGTTTAGACAAACATCAAGTGGTTGTAAAACTGAAGTTAATCCACCAGGAATAACTGCAATGTCACTGTTGTTCCTCGCCATGTTGGTTTTTGTTCCCTCTGTTAAATGACTCGCGAACATATCCCATACTAACAGGCTACGCTGTTTTCGAAAGCCACCAGGTCGCCTACACCATATATGATCAATCCATAACTTTATTCCTTGTTCGTCCATCCACCCTTTCTCGTTGACGTGAACAAAAACTCCAGCCGGGAACTTGATTTTGGGCATTGTTTTCCTCTTGAGAATTAGCATTGGGTTCAACTTGGTTCCGTCTGCCATGCATGAAAGTACTACTGTAAACCGTGTCTTTTCGTGTCCTGTTGTTTTCACTAACACTGTTTTTGCACCCTTTGTATCGACAGTATGATTACCGACCATGTCGAAGTTCATAGGTGTTTCATCCATGTTTCCGATGTTGCTTAATGGATAACAATGTTTCTTACGTTGTTGTATTATGTAGCGATGGAAATTAACAATTTTACAGTTAAGATCTGCTGGTAATTTTTGTGCTATTTTTGTCTTCTGCCTCAGTACCAGATTGCTTCTTTCCATAAAACGGCTACACCATGAAGTCGTGGCTTTGAAGTCTTTGCTGTGCTCTTGATTTTGTTTAGCCCACTTAAGTGCCCACATACGTATCATGTTTCTTGATACAATATACCCATTTTGACGCTGCTCATGGACCATGTCTACTGCGTGCTTCTCTAGAATCGGCCAGTGTGCAGTGCCTCTTCTCATTGCACATTTATTCCTGGGCATACTTCGTAGTAAGTGTTCCTTTGATCTCCAATCCCGCACCATCTTCTCAGTTACACCGTATTCTCTTGAAGCAGCACAATTGTTGTGTGACTGGGCATATGCTATCACTTTCAGCTTAAAACAAGCTTCATATCTCCTGCGTTTAACAATTGGAGCCATGGTGAGGTTTTGTGGTAGCTGGATACAGTATTAATATACCGTAGTGTTCACACGGAGAGAGTGCTATTGCTTATGGAGTGATAACTCAACAACTGGACAAGGCAAATGAGAGAAGGGGTCACCTTACACATGACCTGACGTGGTCACCTTACACATATATGGTAATCATTAAGAATCAAACTCCGAATCAGATGACCTGCCTTCTTCTTCATCATTGTCATGCTAAATTTACCACTGTCGGTAGTTAAAAGAATTAAAAGTCATTTATTGAATATTCTATGTAAAAAAATAAATGTTAAATTAATTATTTATAGGAGAAACGTATTATGATCAATAAATATATGGTATTACTGGCCACTTCAGACACAAAGACGGGATAAAAATAGCCCATCTCCCCCTCTTACAGCTGCCAATGGGAAGCGTGTTGGTAATTAAATTTGATGTTTATTTTCAGTTTGTCTAATTTATCATGTATCAAATTAATATTACTAGAAATTGTGTAGGTAGTAGGCAGCTACCAAACAGGGAGGTACTACTGCCTGGGAAGATATTGGAAGCATAATGTGTTGTCTAATGGTAGACCCTGCTGCCATATGGCATCACGAAAATTGTGACCAAGTCCCAGGTTGCTGACCTGACTTTCTGCCTCATTTACACAATTGCAGGGTCTCAATTGTTTCTCTTACTTTGACAACACAACATACATACAGTATATTATTTCTCAGTTTTGATCTTTTTTTTTAATTTTTGTAACTATAA